CTTTATAATGTCGAGATAGTTATCAAACATTCTAGAAAACTTATATTTGTCTGTATTTTCAGTAATCAATCTCTGTACGGGTTTGGTAGATTTGACCAATCTTCCAACCATCATAAAAAATTAGGAAATAAATATGAATTATGCCTCTTTCATTCTAGAATGAACACGAATTATAACACAAAAACATAGACTAAATAGCTTAAATCTCATAACATTATATATCTATTATATTGAACTTTCATCCATGACTGGCTAACAGTACAGAAGTTAAAATGATGCGGCTCACGTGCACTAATGTTACGTATCAAATAATATAAAACTGACCTTTGGTCTGTACAAAGTAACTTCTGTTGGCTGTGTCCAAGTAGATTAGTATTTTGTAAAATACAGTCACATTTCAATTATTATACATTACATATGTATATAGATTACTACTATTTTGAAATAAGTTCTTAAACATATTTTTCCTAAAACATAGAACAGTAAATAAAGAAGTAAAGCAAACAATTATCTCTTCTAGTTACGATCTTTGTACTCGATTGCTGCTTCACGTAGGTTGCTAAGCCTTTAAAAATTTTGTACATGGAGGATATGAAACAAAATTTTTTTAAGTTTTATATTTCATTTGAATAACTAAAAAATCATAAATTACTACATTAATACCATAGAATTCAACTATAATTTATAAAGCTTAGTAACTAAGATGTATTTTAGTCTAAAAAATATGATATTTCAAGCACACTAAAGACACACCCTATCTCGTTGAAATATTGGTTCAAAATAAAGAAATGGCACCAAGTCCATTAAAATGGCTTAGAATGCCACTAGGGGGACATTCTGAGCTTCCGATTGGTTATTCATGTCATATATATAAGTGTATATAAGAAAGCATTTCCAAAAATAGAGAGGTGGGCTGGGTGCCACTGTGTCTGATTTATTATATGAGCAATATCTTAACAAACTGAAAATATAAGAGGCTCTTATTTTATATTCTAGCTTGTAAATATCAGTAATTTGAGTTTCTAATTCATTTGAAACTACAAACTTAGTATTTTCACTTCACAAACATCTAATTTGAACCAGTGCTGCATTCAGCTTACCACATGTCACACAAAAATCAATGTTTATCTGTGTTTTTTTTTATATTTGCTTTCAAATTAAGAAATTGAGTAATGTATAGTTCTAAAATTTGAATTATGATCTACAGTTTGATACCAAACTTACTGACATAAATTCATGAAATAGTAGTTCAATAAAATTATGAATGCGAGTCAACAAACAAGATGACATGGCTTTTCACCCGTGACCCGTCTCGAAAGGGTTAAAGTGTAAAAACCACAGTCATGATCTGCCCAATGAAAAGTAAAATATGCAATTAATGATAACTTAAACTTATCAAAAAACTATGAACATCTAAAATTTGCAGTGGCTAAAATCAGATACATTTCATAATTGAAAATGTAATATTTTCAAACAAATTAAGTTTTCAAAGTTAATATAAACCAACTGGCAGCTTCTGAAAGGATTATATTTACCTATGACATTGTGCCGTGAGCTAAATGGATCAACTGTTGTTTGCTCTCTGTAACTCCGAAATCCTTGAATAACTACCTAAAATATATACACACAATAAGCTGATTACCACATAAAGATGTAAAAACAAGAAAACAATATTAGATAGCTACATTTATCACATGAAGTATTTAGTCTAATAATATTTTCATTTTTTAATTCATTCAGTAGTTATTTTCTTCTCTTTTTTTAAGTTAAGGAACTTTATGTCAAAGTGAATCATTATATTCCACTTAACAAAAACTGTCCAACCACTTTAACTAAGCGGTACTGATAAACTAACAGAACATTTGATATAATTTTCATGGCTAATGTTGATCACTGTTCCTGACTTTTATAACATTATTTACTGGTAAAAATAGCCTAATAGATCTAGTTAATTAAAACACCCAACTGGATGGATCAGCATGGTCAGTCACACAGAACAACAACTTTGCCAAAAGAGTACTAGGATATTATGTCAATGTAGAGAACAGGATGATATCATGAGTTATGCTTATTACTAGAACTACAATTTCAGAAAAGTTCCTATGAATCATTAACGCTAAATGTCCAAATCACTGAGTGGAATATTTTAAAGTACTAGGTAAGACAGAATATAATAGACAAATACAGGTGTGCTTCTACCTGTTTTTACATTCATTGTCCAACTGAAAGATGCATAATACTTTTACATTTTTTTTATAAATACCAATAATATTTGCTTTCACTGTCCAAGATCAGGCTAACAGCTTTATGACAGTAACAGTTTACTTGTACCAGTACTTACATTACATTATGAATAAAACTATACTAATAGGTACACATACAAAAAATTAGACTAGTTTTAATTTATATTTTATTCTTTATTCAAACAGTTCTCAACAAAATACAAATAAACAAAATTATCACAACAAGCAAGTCATTCAAGGCTGCCATCTTGTTTCGAACTCCCACCTGAAGTAACTCTTAAGCACTAAATCATGCATGACTTTAGAAAACATTGTTGAAATGTCCATTGAGCAACTTTTGGTAACAAATACTTTATTTCCTAGTCAGATTGAAATACAATCATGATGTAAACATAAAATCTGCAATTGTTAAACAAATTTAAATTAGTATATCCACTGTTTTGAAAAGCTTGTTACAACACGATCTTGCAACTAAAAATTGAAGGTCTCAAACTGCATGATCTGACATACAGAACAATGAGCACATCCTTGGAAAGAGCTGCATAGTCAGATTCACAACAACACGTACGTTATCTTCCAAACAGCACTGTCAGACACCTTAAATAATAATGTGTAAATTTTTTGGAAGGAACTGCAAAAAATATCCAGTCAGACACAGAAAAAACTGACTTTCCATTTGAACATGATTTGAAATTATTTCTCTGTAATCAGTAACCTTTAGGAGGAATAAAGACACCTCACATGACAGTTTTGGATAAAGATTTTCTTTTGATGGTTTTTACTCCCTCCCCTCTCAGTGTATGATAGGTACAGCTGTGTTGGATTATCTGATGTTTATTTAATGAACCTTTAACACTTCCCAGGCCATTTCTGATGTTGCATTAATACAATTAAATAACACAAAGTCACCACACCTGAAACTCAGATATTTCAAACCCAGAAGGATAACTATGAGACCTTTTAAAATATAAATCTAAATTTCTGGTCAATTTATAACTTGTAATACAATAAAAATCACTACATGACATAGCTACTTATTACACCATTGTGTACAACTCAGTGATGTTGGGCTGAAGAGGAACAACAGTTTCTGAGTGATTTCATTGCCTGGTTGTCTTCGAGTTTGATTTAAAACCTCAATCACTGCAAAGTCAAGATAGATAGTTTGAACTTAGTGACATCATACACTATTCACAGAAATGGTACAATAAAAAATCAAAATTAGAAGTAGGGAAGTACAGACAACATCACCTAACATATAACAGAGGGGTGGGTGTATACAGCACTATACATTGCAAAGAGAAAGGTATTTTGGGAATGGATCTCCCATTCCTCACAACCCCATCTAAGAACACAGTGTTTGTATGTTAAGGTTTTGTGTGATATTGTTCATTTGTTTACAGAAACTTCAAAAACTGGTACTGTAAGACTGTTGAGCAGAAATGTGAAAGTATCATCACTAAGTTTTAATACGTGCCTCCAATACACAGGTTTTGAAAGCATCACAAAATATGGTGTCTCTTTCTAGATAAGTTGATCAGTTTGTAATTTTTGATCAGAAAATTTGACTACAGGGTCTTTTGCTTAGGTTGCTAAGCCTTTAAAAATTTTGCACATGGAGGATATGAAACAAAATTTTTTTACGTTTTATATATGCATTTTGAAATAATAAAAAATCATCAGTTACTATATCAGTACCACATAATTCCACTATAATTTATCAGACTTAGTAACTAAGCTGTATTTGAGTCTAAAAATGACATTTCAAGCTCCATTATCTCTTAGCTCTCTGCTTTGATTCTACCATGAAAGGGAAAGTTTTCCTACATAAACACTTTACAAAAGCCGAGAAATCACATGGGGGACATTCAAGAACTTTCAATTGGTTATACAAATGTCATAGATCGAGTGTCTTGTGCTTGATTGCCACAATATTTACTTGTCCTTTATTTGTTATTGCAAAGCTACTACGGCTTTCTACCGTAATCACTAATTTTGAACTGTTGACTACAAGGAAGGCAACTGGCTGGTAGCACCCACCATCAAATTGTTGGCTACTTCAGTATTAAGTAGTGTCAATGTACTGTTATTGTTTTTTTACACTGTGTTACATCTTTAAGTTATAACTGCATAACAAAATTCTTTAATGCTGTGCAAGAATGTACAGATATGGGAGAGGGGCCCAGACCCCCATCCATTTTCATCAGCAGGCATGGATCTAGTGAATGGGGATGAACCCCATACATTTTGTTTTCTGAAATTAATAACTATATTATATAATATTGTATAAACAGTTGCAGAATGAGGGGAGAGGTTGAATGCCCAACCCCATCCTTTCCATTTTTTTTTTCAAAAAACTATTATTTAATGTTGTACAAGTATGCACAGATCCAGGGGGTCTAAACCCCTCCAATTTAAAAACAGCCAGAAGTGTCAAAAACAAATATTAGGTGTCAGTGTTTCTATTTGATTGGTCTAACAATTACCATAAAAAAATTTTGTTACAGTTCTTCCGAAGTTAACACAGCTGAACTCTACAGCAATAGTCACGTCACAGCTTCAGCCAATAAATGATTACTTCCAAACAAATACAACAATATGAATGTCAATTATATATAGCCATGGTAAATTTTCATGCCTCGGCTTTTTTCCAGACACTCTAACAATGTGCTTATGCTATACACTTTAAGAGATGTTTTGCATTGTCTCCCAAGGTACTTCACTAGTAACAAGGGTTCTATAAGACTAGACTCTGTTAACTGCAACACTGCTTCCTCCCACACAAACACACTACAAGTATAATTCAATTAACTATCCTGTCCCCAATGCCAACTGATGTGATTTTGTTAGCTAATCTTCTGTGTCACACCTTTACAAATGTTTTTTTCAAAATCTATATTCACCAAAGCTATACCCTTTTATTCACCTACAAAATAAATAACACCTTCGCACACACAAAAAAAAAAGATTAGAAAAGCAATATTTCCTTTTGATGAAACAATGTTGGCTTTCACTTATTATATATTTCACCAAATGGTTAGTTTCTTTAGGTTTATCAGTCTAAAAAATTTTCAATTACATAAGAAAGACTGATTTGTAAATTGTATATAATTAATAGGGAAACTTTTAACCCCTTTAAAAGTTGAAACAACATAAATAACTCTCAAACCAGAACGTACGTGCCCACTCTAGTAACCTATTAAAAAAACAAGTGAGCTAACACTAAAACAATTATATACAAACACTTTAGAAATCGCCCCTTTTCGATTAGCTGTAGTCACAGCCCGATATTTGGCCCAATGATATAACTAGTAGTAGTAATAGAAGTACTCCCTAAGCCTAACAACGGTACTAATAGTATTAGTAGTAATACACTAATAAAATGTTAATAAGGTATGTGCTAAAAATATTTCAGTACGTAATACTATTAATATAATCATCATTATCAATTTACACAAATCACGCTACAAACTACAGTATTGTTCTAATAATAATAATAGTTTTGTTACTAATTACTGTCAAGTGTAGCTACAGAATTAGCAATAACATCAAACACGTTAAGCCTAAAAATATGCAAGAATATAACGTAAGATACAAAACCAAACATTTCAAACTACCTGTTTAATATACATGTTGTCAAGCTTTACGTTTCATAGAAAGATGAAATGAATAATGTAGAAGGTCGACTAACAAATTAAAGACTAATTAACTAATATTAATAAGACTTTAGCTTTGAACTTGAAGTTACACTGTAAGTGTAACATAACACTTGATTGTTTACTCCTGTCTACAAAATGGCGGGTAATTTCTTGCGTATTTCAGCCGCTTATATCAACAAGTTAAAACTGCTGTTGAAATGTTATCAAAATTTCCCTTTATCAGTATTTATGGCATAAAACAAGAACACTTTCCATAATAAAACTACTAATATTCTTTAAGCTTGATCATAAATTTAATATCAGGACATGCACTAATATGATTTTACGAATATTAAATTCAATAAAATAACAGACTTTTAATGTCCAATTCTTAACCAAATGCGC